TGACAGTATATTGTATATAGAAACCGAGTAGATCCTGTCGTCGTCACCTAGAACTAGACTGCCAGAAGATCCTACTCTGATACAATTTGACAGCAGATTGTTGAGAGAAACGCAGCAGATTCTGTTGACATCTGACGTGTCAGAGCAGAATCTGCGTCGTTTTTGCTGACAGTCTAGCGTCAGATAATGCCGAAGGGATCTGCTCATTTTCTGCCAAAAATTTGCTTTCACTTTCACTGCTTTCCATTTGGTAACACAAACCGACACAAGTCGATACAAGTGTCGTTCTATCCTTCTTGATATTCAAAGAGTGACAAAGATAGAGCGACACTTGTATCGACTTGTGTCGAGTGTGTCTCCTAAAAGGAAAGCAGCCTTTATGTCGACACGCGATGTTAACAAGACACAAGCCTTATGCGGACGCAGTTGGTGGCAGACTGTCGTCATTTTTGCTCGAACCTGCTGACAGTCTGCTAGAAGACTGCAGACATTTTGCTATCTAGGTTTTTACGCATGTGTTATTGCGATATTGATGTAGTAATATATGAAGATATGTTGATGTGTCGTATTTTATCGATAAAAGATCGATCACGTCGAAGTTCAGGCTTCATTTTAGGATCCCTTTGACTCTTTCCCTTACGGAAAAATACTATTAAGAATCAATAGTTACTATTGGTGTTCCAGTAGTTACTACTGAGACACCAGTAGTTATTACTGAGACTCCAGTAGTTACTATTGAGGCTCCAATAGTTACTATTATGACTACAATAGTTTGAACTTCGGAGAACCTGAAAATAATTATTATAATAACGCCAGATTGAAGGAAGACTTGATACGTAAATAAAGTAAGTGATGCAAATAAAAAAATCATTATTTGCATCATTATAAAATCACAGTCAGTTATGTTATGTTTTAATTATTTATTTATGAAATTATTTCCAAGTTGGATCAAACACGAATAGTATTCCACCATAAAACGTTAATTAGATTATATTTTTCGTTATGACATTTGTTATCATGAAATACACAACGCATGATGGAATAAGGGAAACGGTACCAAGATGATAAATGTTATAACGAAAAATATATTCTAATTGACGTTTCATGGTGCAATATTATTCGCATTTGATCCAATTTGGTATTAATTTCATAAATAAATTATTGAAACATAACTAACGGTGATTTTGTTATAATAATGCGAATAAGGATTTTATTCATTTTTATATCAATGTACCCATTTTTCTTTAGGTCTGGCATTATTATAATGATTATTTTTTATTTTTACGATGAAAAATACATAAGAAAGCATAGAAATAAAATAATACCCGAGTGCACGCGCGAAACCTTCGAAAATTTGTGTGCACTCTACTCCTATTTATTGATCAATAGTAACTATTGGCCAACAGTAATTATTGACCAACAGTTATTATTGACCAACATTAATTATTTACCAATAGTAACTATTGACCAATAGTAACTATTGGCTAACAGTAACTACTGGCCAACACTACTAACTATTAGCCAAATTACTATTGGCCATTTTACCATTTATTAATAGTTTTTTTTCCGTAAAAGTTGTTAACATAAATTGGGGAAGAAACATTTTTCTATGGAAATAAATTTCTGGGAATTCTTGCAATTCTGTGCTTCTTAGGTTGCTGATTATAAATCTAATGTTAGATTTAAAAAATTTTAAATAATAGATCCAGTATGTCCGCCACATGCATCAATTTGTCTGAATAAATGTAAATTAAATTCACGATATAAAAGGATTTCAAACTGTGAGCAGAAAGGTAAATACCTAAACTTTAACATCAGAACTTCCCAAAGCTGCTGCAATAACACTAATAACTGGTTTATGCATTATAACTTTATGAATATATACATATATATACATATATATATATATATATATGTATATATATGAATATATTGTCAAAAACGCGTTTTAGAAGCGGGTTGGAGGGTTCTAACCTCTTCTTTCTTGGAAACTTTAAGCAACAGACAATTTTTAAGGTCATACGTATTCAGCACATACGTATTCAACCTATTCGCGAAAGAATGACCTTTCTTCACAATAAAAGTATGAGAAATTTATAGCATAGTGTAATAAAGGGAACAGGAAAATAGAAAGGGAGATACTCTTACAAATAATTATACAATAAAGTCTAAGCCTTTAAGACATATTTACCTCCTCGCTGTATGTTGACTATCCAATCATATGCCCAATCAATTTGTTGAACATATAAAATAAAAGACGGTAAATCTGGTGTTAAACATGTTGTCAAATTTTTCATTGATAATGTTCCTGCGGTCTGCAATTTATAATTTTTTAAATTTATAGGTATCCACCACCTTCCCTGACCGATTGGATTATATATCTGCGATAATTTTCCCTTGTAAGAATCAGCTTCTGCTTGCTCGAAGGTTACAATTTGATAATGCCTGTACGTTATCCAAGTTAAGAACTTATTTGATGGTATATAACATTTAAATGCTTCTATGGGTTCTTGCATGGACCAGAAATTCAAAGAAATCGTTGAGCTAAAAATGCTAAATTAAAAAATTTATTGTTAGTGATTAAAATAATGTATTGTGTACAACGTAAATATGTACTTATTACTTAAGTTTACATATTAACTTGTACATACATATGGAACTCCGTAATATAATATATTTCAATTTTCTAGTGTTTATTAGATATATTACAATTCCTATTATATATTACTATTCGTAATATAATTTGTAAAAATTCAGTTTAATTTCAACACTTTAAGTAGGTAATTTTATACAATAGTTTACTAAGAAATGACACAAAAAATTATATAAAGTTAACGAATTTAACGAATTTAACGAATTAAACGGATAAAGACAAATGAAGGATAGTTGAAGAATGAAAAAGTTACGAACATTATGTGATTACTGATTGAAAAGGAAAATATGTACCTATAAATGTGAAACAAAGAGATATTCAGAAATATTGCAACCATTACGAAAATTATAATAAACTTTATAAAATTATAATAACCGTTAGATTTATCATATAAGTACAATATACGACGAAGTTATAGTTGACATATTTACTCACTGTCTGTTTACATACGTATGAACATTATTTCGAAACACTTTATCGGTAATTGCACTTTGGAGCATGCGTAAAACAATTAGTACTGTAATGGTACATATATATTAATCACACAAATTGAGCCTTTTGAACAAAATTTGTTTATCTAAGTTTTTTTCATTAATTTTTTTAATAATATTCGTATGTACAAATATTTAATAAAATTTTATTTATTAACCTTTAACTATTCTTACCTTTTAAATAACGAGGAAAACTGAAAAGTGAATCAATTTCCAACAGGTTGGTGATTTGAGGATTCATGTCAAAGTAAGAACCCAAATGAAGAGATTCGTATTGATTCTGCACTATGAGGAAATCCATGATTGTAGAATCATTAAAGATCTAAAAGCAATGTTTCTTAATTACACAAAATGTAAATGTGAAAGTCTATCCTTATTGGGATGGTGTAGCATGTGCTGCTGCTTAATGTTGTGTGCACATGTATGCGCATGCTTGTTAAAATTATTTTACGAAGTTCATAATTCAGTTTAGAAATAAAAAATAAGTGTAATTCTTAAAATAAAACACCATACAATTTTAAAAGTTTAAACGATTTAAATTGAAAAATTTTTAACATTTAATTGAAAAGACTTTTACGACTTATTTTACATTGTTATTATCATTCCAGTTTAAATATTTTGTCTAAATATTTTATTGTTATAAGCATCCCCTCAAAAAAGAAAAAAATATACGCTTAGTGCATAAAAAAGATACCGAATATTACATTCCTTTTAATAAAAAACGGATACGAAATAAATGCAATTAGCCGAGTATTTCATAACGCAAGACACATAAAATATATTGAAAGTGACTAAACTGGACAAATGGATTATAGTGAAGAAAAAATTTGGCGTGCCCGGGTCACATTAATTACACTTGTATAAATGTATTATCTCATCACAATATTCTTATTATAAATTAAAATATAAAAATAATATTTACATTTGTATATAAGTGTAATTTATATGTATGTATATATATATATATATAGTGACTAGTTTGTGGGACATGAAAATATACTCACAAATAACAGACGTGATATAAACTATGGAGAAATAATATGTATAAATAATATTGATAATATTTAGATGTGGAAACATTATATAGATAACAAATTTACAAAATTAATAAGTAATTTTAATATCTCTTGTTTGTTGAATTATTGTTTTCATGTATTGTGTATGTCTGTAGAATATTGTATATATTAACTTTTTTATTAATTCGTATTGTAATTAATTTCCGTCCTATGAAGACACATTCGTCATAGAATATTTTTATCCAACCTGAGCACGGCAAATTTTCTTCACTACAATTTAGTCAACATTTTAGTCACTTTCAAACTATCTATGTGGCTTGTGTTATGAAACTTAGCTAATTGCATTTATTACGTATCCGTTTTATTTTTTATTAAAAGGAATGTAATATTTTATATCATTTTTTATGCACTTGGAGTAAAGTTTATCTTTTTTTAAGAGACTTTTCATATGTACTGTAAAAGATTGTAAGTCAGATTTAAGTGTTAAAGAATAAAAATGATAATTATATCAAATTAAGGTAATTTTATTATATTGCGATATATTGATAAATATAAAGACCTTAACAATGGTTTCTTCTCCAAACAAAGTAGCAAGACCGTCGTGTAACCAGAATCGAGTCCACCAATTATAACTGAATACGTTACTAAACCATTGATATGCTATTTTGGGTGCTATTAAACGTGCGACTTCTATTTTGTGCATAACTGAATCTGTTTGTTCATCACATATAAGATTGGCTTCTCTAAAAATTATTACAATTGTTCACACGTGCAAAAATTATGGCTTATTTTTGGTTGATGGAACAGTAGGGGAGACCGGGGTTGTCGTACGGGGTTGATTGTCAAAATGCTTATAACTCAAACAAGACACGGCAGAAAAATCTCTTTTCTTGACTATAGATAGCTGATATAATATTAATTTGTTGTGTAAAATGGTTTGCACCATAAGCATTGTATATATTATTTATAGCGATTTTTAAGAAAATGAAGTTGGTGAGTAAATTTTTATAATCACGTATTTTGTAGTCTGACAAGTCTTTGGCATTATTAATCGCAATATCCCTGTATTCATAGAAAATGACATATCTTAGAAGATCTTTGCTACAGTTAAGTAATCATTATTCTGACTCAGTTTGTGAATACAATCTCTTTTATTACAAATGGCTATGTGGGGTAGATTGACAAAAACGACGAGATTAGGTGACAATTAATTTTAATATCTTTAGAGGACACATTTTCAGAGAATATACTTACAAATATATTATATTTCATATAGATAAATATTTTTTCATTTTTCATATAGAAACTATGGTACAAAAACAAATTAGGTATTTTATGATTAAAATAATTATTTTATTTGTATTAATACTATAATTACTATTATTTCTCAAAATAAAAGAACTAATATTAAAATTAAAAATTGTGTTTTTTATATATGTTGTCCATAACAAATATGCTACAGCCAATCCTAGAACGTGTGACAATCAACTCAGAACAGGGGGTTAATTGACATATTTTCGCAGCATCATTTAAAATTAAATAACTTATTTTTATGACATGATGAATTCACGAGTAATATTTTTTTTAATACCTAAAGGATGCAGGTATATTGTAACATATATAATATTTCAAAATTAGGCATTCACTTTTTTCTAAAAATTAATAATCAAAAACTGTGACAATTAGCCCCGGTCTTCCCTATCATTAATTTCTGTACAGATTTCAATTTAATTTATTTTTAATGGTGTATATAAATCGTTTAATGTATTTAATTTTATATAATTTGTAATGATTAATTAGGACATTAAAAAATATCTGTGCACATAGTTACATTTTTTAAATTCGTCTTGATTTGAAGCATGTATTGTGTAAATAATATTTGGAAAAATATCACCTTTGTAATTAATTTATACATAAAGAATATTGGATTATGATTTTAGTGACTCTTAATAAAGCATAACAGGTGACATTTGATATACAAATTGATTCGTATAAAGTGACAGACACATTTGTCAATAAAATTTATAAAGACATATGAAAAAATATTAAATAAGTAGATTTTTGTACGGAGAAAGGGATTATATAGGTAAAACCAATACTTTATGCAAGTGTTGAAGTCGTATCATGATTATCTCTACGTTTTTATAAAAATATGTTTTTTTTAATTATATGATTTTTAAAAATTATTTTAGATATAAAGCTATTAATGTGGAATTATAAAATGTCAATAATACATAAAACATTTTACACTTTATTCTAACATATTTTGTCATGGAATAATCTAAAAAATATCTCTATGTTATGAATTTTTTCTGATAATCATATTCTACTATTTTTAAGCACAGCTGATGAAAAAAAAATTGAGTTGTTTTTAGAAAGAAATGCAATTGCAAAAGGTTTTAAAAAATACGATTGTAAAAGATTTATAATATCTTGTGTAATAATAATTATTAATCCTCCGCGAACCAAGTGGAAAATCAACATAGATCATATTTCATATATATGTTACATTTCATCATAAACATGCTGTAATTTAGTATAATTGGCAACAACGCACTCTCTATTTGCACGAAACCGGCAACAGGCGCGCGGTACTTTTTACGAAGTTATAGAATTTCATCTTGCTGGGGTGTCACACCCCACCTGATTCGCGGATTAATAATTATTTCAATAATTGATTTTTTTATAATCAATTGGAAATTTCTTACGAAAATGCATATACGTAAAAATTAAAAAATTTTAAATATTCAATTGATATAAATATTTTTCTCATTTAACAAATTGTTATATAATTAGAAATATGTATTACGTATGAAAGACGAGCCCCCATTTCGATGTGTCATCTTGTGAAAAATTTGGAATTACAACATGATCCATTTTTGGAATATTTATCCCACTGAATTCAGATTTTAAATGCAATGTAATATCGTTTATGATTCTCCGTGCAAATTTAAATTTCAAAGACCGCTCTTCTGAATAACATTCGCACCACAAAGTAATGTTTTCACTAATTCTGATGGGTTGATATTCAGTCAAAACTATCGCAATTTGGAAAGTGGACATTGGAGGAGTAGTACAGAAATGTGTCAACACTTCAGCTTCCAAAGTCATTAAACGATTGGTAGAACGGTATTTTATCGGCATATTAGATAATGCTGTAAGATTACGATGATGCTTTATAGAAATTGCAAATGTGGCCTTTAAGTGTGGTAAGTCCCAACAAGGAAATAACTGTCTCATTCCAGTCGCTTGGATGTGCGGAGCTATAAAAAATCTGTTACAATTTATTAATTATTATATTTACTTTAAATATAATCGTACAATAATGAATCTTTGCAGTTTAATTGAATTTAGATAATGTCACTACAAATTGGTATAAGAAATACATTTTGAAGAAAAAAGGAATAAATTTATTATAGATCACATAATGCCTACATGAATATTTTTAACTATTTAACATTTACTCACGTTACTGTATTTTCCTTGGAAATCTTTTCATAGAAACTTTTTTCATGGGTTTCTCTTAGATAACCGTAAAATTGTAATTTGATTGTGTACAGCCCAGGAAGCAACTTATAGAGAAAAGGAAATGCTAAAATGTTCGTTTTATAATTGTATTTATATATATTCAATATGTGAATTATGCCATTCTTTGTAGTCACATTTACACTCGCATAATTTGTTATCAGGTTTAAGTGATGTAAATTTATATTTCGAGTCGATTCAAGGATATTAATAGTTATACCAGTTTCACCGCGAAAGAAAAATGAGCCATAAGTATATTTAAAACCAAATGCCTCTTTCCAAATGAACTCGAGTAGTTCGTAATTTTTCCAATTTGTACTTATGTAGCTGAGTTGTATGGAGTAATGCACCGGTACCACGTAATAAGGTAAATGTACGTCGTTTGGAATAGTAGAATTGTATACTTTTTTACTATTAAGAACAGTTATTGTCAGAATAAGAATTACGCTGCTACTTATCTGTGCTAGATTCATGTTACGTCAATTGATGGTTTAAATATATGTATATATCTGTCAAAAGTTTAAAGAAATAATATAATACTCACAATAATAATGCGCATAGCTGTTTGTGGTTTTAGAGAGTGAGTGGGGAGAGAGAGAGAGAGAGAGAGAGAGAAGGGTAATTAAAGTCGTTATTTAATCATAAACATACTGTTACCGGTAAGCACCTCTCTCTCTCTCTCTCTCTCTCTCTCTCTCTCTCTCTCTCTCTCTCTGTCTAAACATTTTTTATTTCAATAAAATTTCTAGCGCAGTTATGATTACGTTAAAGAAATCGTTACAGCGACGTTAGGTTCTTAAAAAGTTTTATATTGTTATTTAATAAGCATTTTTTCATTGAATACGTGTTTGTTTTTCTATTAATTGATACTTTAAACAGAAATCTTATGAGTATAGTATGAATGTCTACAAAAAATTACATTTTATAATACATTATTAACGTACGTACATATTCTTAAAGAAGTAACGTTTAGTCAAAAGTCAAATAATTTTGTTACAATATCACTCTGGTGAAAAGTTTTCTCAGAATTTTTCATATAATTTTTCAGAATTTCTGTATTATTTTTTATAACTTTGTCACGTTTATTATACGAATTAGAACATTTCTCAGAAAATCTACATCTTTTCTCAGAATTTTTCATATATATTAATTATAAAATATTGTAAAATTTGTAAGGTTTTTTCGTAAATATAATTTTTGATGAAACGTTGTAAAATTAAAAAAATTTTAAAATATTTTTTTTAAATTATGGGATGACAAAATTTAGAATATTTCAGAATTCACTTGTATGAAAAATTCTGAGAGAATATGTAAACTTTCCTAATATTTCTGAGTATATCTGAAAAATGTTCCAATTTGTCTAAAAATTACGAGAAAAATTTCCATCAGCTAGAGTATTGTTTACAATAATAAACTCCGTAAATAAATCAAGTGTTATATTTTTAGGAACTTACTTTGTGTAATAAAATTGTGCTGTTAGAGTATAATTTAAACTCTTGATTGATATTCATATAATAAATATAACGGAAATATAGATTGTATTAGAATATTTCCGATTGCTGAGATGTTATTCTTCCGAGAAGTCACAACAGACTATAATATCATCGATAACGGAATACATAATAAATACAAAACTGTTTTGTATGTATTTTAATGTAAACATGCTATATTAAGACACATAATGTTAATCGATTTTCTTTTCGAGAGAATCGATAAGTTAAATGTGGATGGGTACGTTTGATCAATTTATCCAAACCTTTGATTTATTCTGCTATCGAATTTTTGACGCACTTCTAACCCCGCAACACAATAGAGTAGTAAACCTTAATATAAGCCCCAATCATAATCGATTATTCTTCTCGCATTCGAGTGTGATCGAACAATTTCTTAAGATTTAAGACTTAATACTCTATTGTGTTTGCGGGATATTGCATACAGTGACATTTTCGGAAAGTTTTACGCATTTTTAACTTTTTGCGAGCCATTTAAGAAGTATACTTACACTAAAATTTAAATTGTATAATATATAAGATCATAATACGTATGTATATGCTTTGTATGTAAAGAAATTTATAGCCTAAGTTAAATATTTTCTCGAAGATTTTCGATAATCTTATATATTTTTCTCGTGAGTATTAATGATGGTCATTATGAGATTGTTGCAGAGAGAGAGAGAGAGAGAGAGAGAGAGAGAGAGAGAATAAGATGTAACTGTATAAGTAGTATAGCCGTATATTGGTAGTTTATTATAAATTAAGAGATTTTAATTTTGAAAATTATGAATTTAATAATATAATTGATACGATGTACTAAGTGGATATTATGTTCCAAATCGTAATATATTATTAATATTTTTATTGTATTTAATATAGGGATGAAATAGATATTAAAAAATTGAATCAATATATTTTCATTTATAATACACCAACACATAATTTTGTCGTATAAAAATTGAAGAAAGATAATTCGGACTGGGCACAAAAAAATATAGATGAATTACTCGAAATGTCTTCGTCCTCTCTCAAAATCACTAGAAGAGCGATCGCAGAAGGAAAAGAAAAATCCTTTGCGGATTGTTTGAAGATTGAGTTTAGATCGACTTGTACTGCTCTGACCAAAGACGGTAATTTTTATGAAGGTAATAATTAAGATAGAATTTAGCGTATGTTTTACAAATCCTCTATTCTTGGATTAATATTTCCATTTAATTGTAGGTGTCAGAGCTCTCCTAATCGACAAAGATCAGAAACCAGTATGGAAACCGACATCCTTCACATCCAGTTCGCAGTACTTGCTATAGAGAAAGAATTACAAATGTGTATCAACAAACTATAGAAAATGTATATAATTGTTATAAAAATAAGTTTCTAAATTTTGTACAGATCTTGATAAGTATCAAAATTGTTAACTTTTTTCAGATCTAATCTTTTATATTTCTTGCAACAGATTATAGTGTAAATCAATTTATCAAAAATTATTTATAAGTTATATAATTGGGTGAAATATAAAACAACGTATATTTCATTGGTTTAAAATAAAGACAACATAAATACTTACAAGATACTTATTAGGTACTAGTACGTAAAAATTTTTTTGCTTGTTACTTTGATTTTTATTTTGGAAGCAACTCCAGAATTATAAGCTAGATTCATAACCAACAAATTAACAAATTTTCCCGCTATCTACTTAATTTATGAACATTATCAATTTAAAACAATAACTTAATTTATAGATCATAAAGAATTGAAGATTATTCTGAAATATTAAAAATGATATATGCTTGTTTTTAAATTATATTTATATATGTCATATATATATATATATATATACTATGTTTTTAATATAGAGAACAGAATATACATATATCAAACATACCTGTACGAATCAGGTGTAGCCATAAACCAGATGGCGATAAATAATTGTTCTTCCTCAGATATGATCCTTGTGCCAGTTGCATCATTAATAGCACGTAGTCCCAGACCATTTATTCCTAGCACCATTTCAAATATTTCAGGAAACATTCTAAATTAGAGAAATCCAACTGATAAAAATTAATTTAAAATCGGTAATAAAAACAATTAATTTTTTAATGATTTATATGTATGTGTATGTATATATAATTGTAAATATAAACTTTCCTTAGATTATGATATTACATTGAGAAAAATTTCATTTCGTATTCTTATTTCTTTCATATAAAGATATAATTAGGGTAACTCCGGTATATACGCCGCACCTATCAAAAACTTAATTTATTAAGTATTATGAAAAAAATATTAGAAATCCGAAATATTTATATTTCGCGTATTAAAAAATGAACTTTTTTAAACCCTTTTTGCATTTTTGCCGTATATCCTATAAGGATGGGATATATGGCTACTCATAGGGGGAGGGGGGGGGGGGATATGTATGGCTCATAAAAAATTTACAAATAAAGCATATAAATAAGACGTAAAATCATACAATAACTTATAAAATGCGTTTATAAAGTTTTATTAAGGAATAAAAATGATAAATATGTATATGAAGTAATAAATAATAATTACAATCTTCCCAGATGTATTACAAGTGTTATGACATGAGGTACATATTTCATGTAATGCGTTTATTGTATTTAGTGCACTGAATTCAGTCTGCGCACTTTGTATGTTTTGGGCATAAATCCCGCTTGTTAAAAATGCCATATATCCCACACAGGTGGAATATACAAGACACCATACTAAACAAAGGATGCAAGAGTAAAGTATTTTGTTATACAACATACTTTACTATTCCTCTACACTCATGTATCACGAAATAACCATTAAATCTTTTACACATCCTACTGTAATCATTTTATGTAGATTATAATT